GACAGATGAATTTTAAAATGATTTTAAAGTGTATAAGTATTGTATCTATCTATCTGAAATTCTTAAGGACTATTGTAGTATTCCCACTTTATAGTTATGTAATGCTTCTTTAAAGAATGAAATAAATTAATTTAGGTAATTGATTACCTAGATGACTGATTGTCATAGTAAGTTTCATTCATACAGCAAATCATTTAATGATTGTGGTGACAAAAAGTGTAATTGTATAATCAGTGGGACTGTTAACCCGTTACAATAGTGCTAGGAGTTGGTTACACGGCATGTAGTCACGAACAGAACCTTAGCAAATGTTACGTGAAAATCAGTCTTAATTTTAAGTTACTATGGTTTAGGATCGTTTGATACAGAGGTTCTACAAACTTTGTTACTAAGTTCTTAGTTATGAAGGCGTGCGATGCGCCCTGAGTTTCCTTCGCAACCACGGGCTGTACAAATTAGGACGCCATAATGTTTGGTGTTAAAACGTTTGATAAGTTTACAGATTTGTGCAAATATGAACTTCTAATATTGATCATGTCTGCGAGCTTACATGCTAATAAGTTGCTTGACTTCTTGGATAGATAAATATTTTTTTATGAACCGATCTATTCGTGGAAAATCTTCGACTGGTCACAGATGAACGATTTTAAAACCTCTCCTCGTTAAGTTAATGTTTTCTTTACTTAGTTTAATATTTACCACTTATGAAAATTACTGGTATGACCGAATAAAGACCGAGGAATAAAATAAATATTCTATAATCTGCCGTAACTGCTTGAAAGTAAACGGACCGTTTTAGAAGTATTTTAACAGATACCTCCTTAGTTGGTGTTCGTATTCATAATGGTGTTAATCTCCATAATCATCAAAGTCCACTCGAAAAAATATTCGCTAAATGACTCAGCTGATTATCGACGTAAAACTCTTTGAGAACCGATTGTCTATCAATTTACAAAAGAATGCTTTCTTACAATGCTCCTTTCATTCTTACTACAGAATTTTTAGTAGAACAGACTTTTGAATTTTTTTTTAATATGAAACACAAAATAGCAATTGAATCAGTAACTTATAAAACCTGCAATCAAAGATGAAATTTTCGGGGCATAACAGACCCTATTTTACAACCACAGAGAAATTCAATTTCTCAACGGATACTGTGAAGATTTTCTTTAATAGGTACATACATACCTAGTAATTGCTTGATCCCTTCACACAACAGATGTACAAGTGACGGACATACACAAGTACCAAGAGGTTATTATGTATTATGTAGAAAAGCAATTAACATTGACTTCGCAGCCACGTGCCCATGCAAATACGTTTCAGAACAAAGACTCATAAAATAACGCATGCGATAATTACGGACGATGCTTTTTGATCTTATTATGGTTGTTCGTATTCATTAATTTCATACACTGTTAGAATTATATTACTGTACGGATTAGATAAGTTTAATTGGTGTTTTGTAATTAGCCACTATTGAGAGATTGAGATTGCCGCGCTGGTGGTTGCAAGTGTAAGGTTAGGCTATGAATCGCTCCTTGGGTATAAAAAAGTAGGTAAGTGTCTTCTGGAATTTTAGATTGTGTATGTAAAGTTATGGCCCCTGCCACTGTGTTCAGAAGTAGAAGAAATTATGTGCTTCTATGTTCAGAAGGATATATAAATATAGGTCGCTTCCAACCGGTAGATTCAAAAGTTATCCAGGGAGACCTAGAGTTCAGTTATGGACATCTTATAGCTGATACAATGATGATGTACATTACATGCATCATTATAAACGCTAGCCTATCAAACAATATTCAACTTAAAGTTTTTTTTGACATTTTATGAAAGCAATTTTTATACTTAATTATGAATATACAACTTAAAATACAAATACATATCTAAAATATTTACACCTTAAAAAATAATAAGAAGTATGTTACGTTGGCTTAGGGCTTTGCCGCGGAGAACTTAACGGGTTATCGGGGCTCCGGCTCGAAGTGCAGGAGTAGCAACGGTAGCAGCTCCCTCCCGTCTCACCCAGGTGGGAGAAGGCATTCGATGATTTTCCCCCTTAAAAAAAAGGTCTAAGGGTATCAAAAAAAAATTTCTTCATCGCTATCGTGAGGTAGGGCGCCCAAAAGACTGGCAGCATTGCTACGTTGAATGGCATTTAAAGTTAAATAATATTACGTCTTATTATGCATATACAAATATAAAGTTCTATTTTATTTGTTAATCAGTCAGTTGTGTGACAGTTTTTATTGTCGCGGCGTAACATTGGATGAATCATAGCATTCCTTTGCGTTAGACAATGTGACCACAAACGCGCGCCGTTCAGCTTGCTTACAAAAATTACATAAAACGAATTGTTTTGTTCTGTGAAAGCGAGATAAGTTAAATATTGTGCTGTTTCACTTCTATGGCATTTTTTCAATTGCGTTTTACTTTACAATATTTTTTTATTAGTTACTGGTTGGAAGTCAGATCGTCGTTTGTTTTTGTGCCTGTTGATTTGTACGCTGTTTTGAGATATACATAACTAAACTTAATACATAAGATATTCTTTTCTCTTTTTCTGAATAACATAACATAACATCACGCCTTTTATCCCCGAAGGGGGAGGCAGAGGGGCACATTATACCACTGTACAATGTAACACCCACTTTTCACTATTTATGTTATGAGTCCCATGTAATAGGGGGTGAGCGTATTGCCATATATAGGGCACAATTCCAGACTCCGTGCTACTACTGAGAATATTTAAAAATCCATTAATACTTTGCCCGACCCGGGAATCGAACCCGAGACCCCTTGTCCGGCAGTCGAACTTACGACCACTCGGCCAACGAGGCAGTCTTTTTCTGAATAAACCGCCTATAAGTAGTTTAATTAGCATAAAAGTAAAGTATGTATTCAATAAGTTACTTACCTATTATTAGTTTTGCTTGTAATAGCAATTCATAAAGGCAAACCTCGTAACATTATACAGCGTCTACAAACATTAAAAACAACATAAACCAGAACCAATCTCTGAAATGGTTGGCAATGCAAACAGTTTTAATAAAGCGTTGTCATAGCAACCGCAATAATAAAAGATAACAATAAAAATAAATAAATAAAACAAAGTGGCAATAAAATCTTTAATACACTCGCTGAATATTAAAACTGTAAAAAATGTCGGACGAATAAGGAAAATGTTTGAGAGAAACCTTTTCCGTGTTGTTTACTATAGGGAACAAACAAATGTGACGTCACAAAGCTCCCATACAAGTCGCAGTTAGTACACAATATTATGAAAGCAAAATTTTGTGAGTATGTATGGAGGTTTGTTAGTCTTTCATGCCAAAACTGCTGAACGGATCTGAACTAAATTTAACACAAGGATAGATACAATTTGGACTAACACCAGCGTTATTAGCGTGAATCTAGAATCCAGTGCATACGTACATAGGTATATCAACTACCGAAAAATATTTTTTCATCGCTGCGACTATTAACAATACTTTACTTATGCCTTTAAGGAATAATAAGAGTGATATTATGTCATGTTTGTATAAACAAATAGCGGTTTCCTTTACATCACTTTCCGGCCTTTAATTACCCAATTTTAATTAAGCTAGCGTGTAATGGGTGTATTGATAAACTTAATGATTTGCTGGTATTTATGCTACTTATGTAGCTGTTTCCTTGTATATATGTATGAGATATAGTATATGTCTTTTAAATTATAATAATAGGACTAGCTTGAAGCTTCTGCTAGCGGCTTTGTCCACGTTCCCAGGGGTAAAACTTACTCCATGTGTTACTCCGAACCACAGTCTACGTCTGTTCTTAATGTCATCTTGAACACTTTAGCGGTTTTCACGTGATTGGGTAACACACAAACTTTCGCATTTGTAATATCAGTAAGAATAATACTTATTGCTCCCCGTAACCTTAGAAAAAAAACTTTTTTTTTAACAACAACATAAACATAACATCACGCCTTTTATCCTCGAAGGGGTAGGCAGAGGTGCACATTATACCACTGTACAATGTAACACCCACTTTTCACTATTTATGTTATGAGTCCCATGTAATAGGGGGTGAGCCTATTGCCATATACCGGGCACAGTTCCAGACTCCGTGCTACTACTGAGAATTTTTAAAATACCCAGTAATACTTTGCCCGACCCGGGAATCGAACCCGAGACCCCTTGACCGGCAGTCGCACTTGCGACCACACGGCCAACGAGGCAGTCTATATTTTTGAAATCGGTTTAAAATAAAGTTACTTACCATTTCGAATTTGAGATTCGGCTAGGTTTATTATTAAAATAAACATATTTTACACAATTTTTATTACCTTATTGAATCTTACAATTAAGTTGTTTATGAAAAAAATTACTGATCCTATTGGTCCTCGTTTCTTACTCTGTCATATATGTACAGCCAGCAGTTTAAAAAGAAAAGTGCCCGACAAAATACATATGAAATAATGTTCTAATTTAATATGTAAAATGTATAATTACATATCAAAATGCTAAGGAAAGTTTAAAAAAACTTAAAAAAAAAACATTCATAATACTGATTCAGTACAAAGCCAATGTCTGGATCAGCTGACGAATGAATATGTAAAGGTTGAAAATCATAATATTTAATAATGATATGTTAATGTTACTTTACTGTGTCAGCCTTTATTTTGAATATTTTTGCTGACTGTATAGTGTTCATGGTTGAAGTTATTACTTCCTACAATTTATGAGCTATTGTCAGTGTGAGTCGACAATCCTTAGACTTACATAGTTTATAAGTCCTTAGTAAATTGTAGAAATATGTTCATAGTAACATACTGTAGGGTGTTTGTACTTGCTGAAGTGCAATTAGTTGGAGCTTCATCGATGTAATTACTTTCTCAACTATTATACCATTAAGTATAACGACACACAATACAGATAATAGTCAACGACCCCACAACAGGATTGAAGCACAAAATATTTTCCTATGCTTAACAAGTTTCCAACATTTTTCAGAACGGCTTCGTGGAGTGTCGGAGTGGCTCAGAGGAGTGCGGGCAGATGGACGACTGTGCTGTACAGCTGCCGCGAGAGGGATGCTGCGCCAAGTGCAAGGGATGCTGGTACAACGGCACAGAGCACGCCTCGCACACTGAGTGGAATGAAGACAACAGGATCCTGCGCTGCGAGGCAGGAGTCGTCACCATCACCAAACCAGAATGCTACGTACCCTGCGACAGACCTAAACATCAAAGACATACGCATTACAACTGCCCTGTTTGTGACGGTAAGCCACATTTTAACGATTTACTTTATGTCTAGTAGCTATAAGCTTAAATTGTACAAGTCACAACAAAAAACGGCTTTTGTTTCCAAACAAAACCATAATAACATTTCTGAAAGTCATTCAATGATCCATTAAACAGCGATAGTGACTCAAAACAATTTACCAGCCATTTCACGCCAACAGTTCCCACCACAATTGTCGAGTATCTCTACGTTATTCATCTCACATAATGCGAGAGCGGGGCGGGGGCGCGGGCCTGCGCTGGCGCAGCCATGTCTCGCGCAGCGCAGCGCCCACCCAGACGCGCGCGCCGCAAAAACAACCACCATGATCCCACACAAAAACAAACACACGCCGCCACGCGAACTTAATAAAACCATAACGGCAAGCAATTTACCTGTGCTTCCAAACCTTAACAAGTTTATTAAATTCCATAACAAATAATAGTAATTTACAAGATGACGACTCGATATCGCTTTTGAATATCGCCGACACATTCCAAACTATCGTTTTATTACCTGTGTTTATATTTTATTAATTACCCGCCAGTCGCTAAGCGGGGAGATCAAGGGATCATCGTACGTTGCACTACGCTTCGGAAATAGACAAATTAATAAGGTGTTTAACGTTCCACCTGTCTGGTTGTCTGTGCCTAGTGATTTTCATAAGTATGTGTATACTTTGTTGCGACAATTCGCCCACACACGGCACGAGGCTGTCCGACAGCGCAGCACATAACACGTGTAACGTGACATAGCAACGTGATAGACAATGGACCACTCCGCCATAATTCCAATCCCGTTTCTTGCTCCATACCGAGGCAGAGATGATTATTACAACAACAGAATAATTTAGTCATCTACTCAATGTAATTTAATATATCACATATTGAAGGTTACATGATACAATACCAGAAAAAAAACTTGTTATACAATTATTTGCTATTCAACAACCCGCCTATAAAAGGCTCGCGATGCGGTATGTACATAGAGGTGGCGCCAAAGAGTAATTACTCTGTACGTGGATACTGAATAAACAACAAAAGCATTAAAAGTCTGCAATAAAACCCTCGATGAAGCGCGAAGTTGTGTTACAAAGAATTGATTGTTGAAATGTCGGTGGTAATGAAAACGGAAACCAATTTTTTTACTGTACTTTCGTAATGAAGGGGTCGAGGATTATTTTGAAATTGTTTCTGTGCGCAGACCACCCGAGATGCGCGTTTCGCGAAGTCGTTTCCTCTATCGGGTGCCTACACTATAACTAGAGACAAAGAAATTGACAACGAAATAAGCACATATTATAGTCGACGGGGGTTCGTTAAAATTATATTTGTGGTGGTCTGCGAGTCTCCCACGGCGTTGCGTCTCTATTATTGTCCATAAATCAAAAAGTTAACAACCTACTTAAAAGGTTGGAGCGGGTGGGTTTTTGTGCGATGGTCAAAGCGGCCGACGTGGCCGTGCTGCGGGAACCACGACGTGTGCCCTCTGTTTGTTTGTTTTACGATCCCAACACTGCATTAGGTTTTTTCTTTACTTGTTAATTCTTCACGTTTCTTTTCTTATCAACATGGGAAATGTTTTTATGGGTCCTAAGTGAAAAGTGACGATAACTGTACTTATTAGTGTTTCGGAGCTTCAAAACTGTGAAGTTTGATTATAGATTTGAATGCATCATTTATAAGCAATACACTGGTTGATACCCAAATATTTTATGCGTAGTATATTTCCTTAAACAAACATGTAAAAAATCTTAAGAATGCAGACTCGCTACTAAAAATATATTTGAGGAAGAAAATTTTACGCGAAAGAACTTAACTAATCTAAATTCACGCGGTGTTTTGTAAACCGAGTATTATTAGGTATGCTTACAACAGAGACCTGAGAAATTGAAATAATTACCTTGTAATATACGATCGTCACGTGATCTGACTCCCCAACCACTTTGTTTATGACTCCATAACATTTTAAACCGAAATTCGGAAGAATATATCTTCGCTAAGTGTTTGGGCGTGCCCGTTTAATATTCCAGCTATGTGGTTTAAAACTTAGCCGCCTCCATTTTGATATTTCACTTGCGTACTGATTTTTTCAGAAATAACGTTCATATGTCGGAACCGACTTCAGCCCTTACCTGATTTATTTTGGTGAAATATTTTATGTACGTCTATATTTTAATATTCCTTTTTTCAAATCCCGAAATGTCTACCTGAGATCAAATAATATGCAAGATGCATACAACATGTGTGGGCCCGGCGCAAAGTAACGAAGTTTTAAGGCGTGTATCCTTTGATTACCATTAATGGCGTTGGTACTTAGTCACTATAAAAAATATAGTACCTAAACGCAAAAAGTTAATCAGACGACTTAAGTTATTATCCACCAGCGCATATTATGTTGGGGGGCACATTGTATGACAAAGCACATCGCTCATATAAACGGCGCGCACCAGCGATGAATACATAATAGTATGCCTACAAAAGGACAGCCTACTTTGTGTCGTCGTCTCTAGTTTTACGACAGACACTCGACTGTTTTCATTGTCACAATTATATGCGGCGAGGCGGCGGTCCAGGCTCCGCGTCTTGAATCCAATGTCCGTGGCTATTGAATGAAAAGCATTCTAACATAATGACAAAATAAACGTACACTGAAGCTCTAAACGCTTTATCATTTTAAGTGACTCGCCGAGTACTGCATGGTTTGTCAATGCACTGTACGTCGCTTAATACGTACAGAATAAACGTTAAACGTTCACATTGTTCATAATTCATTAAACCTGGGATTCCAATAGAATTTATATTCTACCGCATATATTCCGCCATATACCTACTGTTATTCTAGTCATAAATAAATTAATAATAGTAAATATGTCATCACGTTGTATGACAATAAACATGGCATTATAATGAACAAATATAGCGTATGAAGTCTGATCGTTGTATGAGGAATGTTTGAACTGTTTGCGAGAAGGCGCGGTAGTGTGGCGAGGGCGCGGCGCGGTGGTCGGGTGGTGTGCACTTGTGCAGGTGGATAGTTGGGCAGTGGGCAGGCGCGGGCGCAGCGGTGGGCGCGCCGTGTGCGGCCGTCCGCGCTACGTCATTCATTAGCCCCCTGATTGATTCATCGTCTACCCGGACTAATTTATGGAGTTTGCGCTTTGTCGTAGCCCCCAAGCCGCCATAGGCCTCATTCCCATTTAGCGAACAATGGCTCAGATTTTTGTTTTAAGCTTTTACTGCCGCTAATCTAAAGAGTTTGTTTCCCCTAAATGGAATCTCTTTTGTATTCATTTATTTGTTGAGGGATCGAAAGGATGTTTGACTTTTAGCGCTGCTATAAATTAATGGTAATGAGTTCGTGTATAAAATCTTAAAAGAGTTTATACTTGATTAATGGGTTTCCAATGGGTAGCCTTGAGAGAGCACATGTTTTATTGGTTTATTTTATATGTTATTAATGTGATATTGTGATGTTCCAGAATGCGTTATAAATGGTCAACGAGTTGGAGAGGGCCGCGACGTGCGTATTCCGGAGGAGCCATGTTTGTCGTGCAGATGCGTGCGAGGGTCGCTGTCGTGCGCCAAGCGCGCCTGTCCCGTGCTGCCGTGCACGCGCGCGCAGCAGTACACACCGCCCGGGGAGTGCTGTCCTCGGTGCACGCATCCTACCTCCGATAAAATACTACCAAGTGAGTAGTGTACCTTATGTCGTAGGTACCAACAAGAAAATTAAATTTGATTTTAGAGTAAAATTCCACATTCTAGTAACATCCACCCTAAGAATGTAATTAATCAATCAGAATGGGATTGCTTTGACTTAATTATGCAGTTATAAGGAAACGAGTCTAAAAACTTCCATATCACAAATGTTCAGACCATAAAAAACGTGGCTACTTTGAGAATTTTGAAAATCGAAAATCCAATAAACCTTGAGCGACAAATGCATTTGTGGCCATCCAATAAGGGATATCTTAATTCAATTACCCACAATTTTATACACCCATATAAATCTACATTGAAATCAGTTTCAGGCACCATGCTGATGAAGCCTTGTATAATTGGGAAGGAATACCACGCGCACTCGAAGCCGTTCCGTGTGGATCCGTGCACAGACTGCACATGTTTGAACGGCACGGCAGTGTGCACGAGGCACACGTGCCCTGTGCTGACGTGCGGTGCCCGAGCACTGCCGCCTGCACCGGGCAAATGTTGCCCAGAATGCCCGCAAGTAGAAGAAGCTAAAGCCGCTTGTGTTATTGGCAGGAAAACTTATCAGGTTCGTACATTGATCTCCTTTTTCATACTCCGAAGTTTTTAAGGTTGATAACATAATTTGTTAATAAAGATTGCAATTAGTTACTATTCCTGCTCCATATTGGCGTAAAAATAATAGAGTGGATGAAATTACGAATAAGAAAATTGATTTTACAGCATATTTTGTTCATCGTAGAACAGATTTTATGTTTTGTGACTGCCCCCTACCATATTTGGGGTTTATAAGCAGCCGTTTTTGTTATGAGGTCCCATAATAATGGTTTTATAATAGAGAGCCTATTGGAGTTTGATTGCATTGATTGTATGATGTACATACATATAATGTTTTGGAACTCCACAACCTTTTTTTAATTAATTACTTTTTTAATTATTTTGTAATTCAATTATTTCAGGATGGAGAGACATGGCAACTAGATGCTTGCAAGTCGTGTGAATGTCATGGAGGTGAACCAAGATGCGCCATGGAGCGATGTCCGGCGCTGACCTGTCCACCAGACCAAACTCTCCGACAACTACCTGGACAGTGCTGCCAAAAGTGCGTCGATATCGACGGCATATGTACTGTGTTCGGGGATCCTCATTACAAAACTTTCGACGGAAAATTCTACAGTTTCCAAGGCTCTTGCAAGTATCAATTGGCCTCAGATTGTGTTAATGGTACGTTCTCGATCAGAATATCGAATGATGCGAGGAATACATCTCACTCATCTTGGACTCGAACGGCAACGCTTCGGATAGGTGCCACCAAGATCAACATGGGCAAGAAGATGCGAATAAAAGTAAATGGACATAGAGTGGTACTGCCGCATAAAATAAACGGAGTAGCAGAAATAACCCGTAGTAATGGATCTGTTTTACTTAAGGCTGATATTGGTATACAGATGCTGTGGGACGGTGATGGTTTTCTCGAAGTGACTGTGTCTAGTGTGTATAAAGGAAAGCTGTGTGGTCTCTGTGGCAATTTCAATTCGAAGGCTAGAGACGATATGAAGACTCGTGATGGTAGGCTACTCAGTGATACTTGGAGGTTCGGATCTTCATGGAGAGTAGGAGGGACTCGGGCGTGTACGCGACGACAGAGGCGTCCGAGCCCCAACATGTATCGTCAGTCGAAAATATTGAAAGCTCGACGTTTGTGCCGGGGGTTCCACATATACGAAGCGTTCACAGATTGCACTACTAAGGTAAACCCTCATAACTATCAAGAAGCTTGCGAGGTGGATGCTCGTAGTTGTTCTGGGACGCGTTGCCACTGCGCAGCCTACCGCGCGTACGCACGCGAGTGCTCACGTGTGGGTGCCGAGCCGCGCGAGTGGGCCCGCGTGGCGTGGTGCGAGGGCCCGCCGCCTCCGTGGCTGAACCGGCGCGGCCGCAAGGGCACGGGCCGCACTCCCGCGCGGAAAGACTCCAGCCTGTTGGACCCTAGTGTCGTGCCCAAGCCCAACAACAGCCGCTCCCGGCCGCCACCTCCAATACTACACTAATGTATTTGTGGCGATGCTTCTACTAGTCAAAAGCCAGTGTGGCGACGTGAGGTAATTATAATTATTATCTAAATATCTTCTATTAGTGGCTAACAACATCGAGTTTATAATAGTATCAAAAATTCATAGCAACAGAACATTCAAGAGTTTATATAAACTTTTCAGTTAATTAATATGTTTATACAACATCGGAATTCACGAGTAATTTGTAACATTTTGTCTGAATCTGTTTGTTTAAATATTAAAATAGAAAATGTTTTGGAATGACCTGCATTGTTGCAATCGTTGCCAAGGTTTTATATAAATAATATAATAAATATAAGCTACATGTATATTTTATCTTGTTCCAGAGTATTATGAATATTTCGCAACTGGACTGTACGTGGGTTGTGTCTGAAAGATACAACGAGCTTTAAAAGGAATGAAGATCTATCTACTTAAACAGTATTCATAAAACTATATCTAGTTAGGTAAACAAGAATATTATTACTAAGACCACCTGTATAGCTCACTATTGCCTCGCCAGTTCCGACCAGCATCCTGTAGCTCATTCCATGCGAGTGTGAAACATTGAGTCGTGTGTCATGTAGCGTGCTGCAGCAACAATAGTCGGCGGGTATCGCTCGATATATTCGAAATGTAGAGCATTCTGTTCGTTTGCTGGTTGTTAATTTGTGATAGGCAAACACTATGTTTTCATTTATGAAAATAAATTTAGTAATTTATTGCATTGTAGTACTAAACGTTTCTGTAAAATGTGATAATTAGCTTTGAATATTCAGGCAAGAGGGGAACGTTTAGTAAACATAGTTCAAATTGAGATCTCATCTGTAGGTAGTTCTTTACGAAATCTTAGATAAATCTAGCTATCCGAAGCCAAGATGCTAAAGAGATTGTGAGAGATATGTATAGATGTACATACAAACACATTATGCATAAATACTGTAACACTAAGGATAAATAGCTGTAATGTTTTAATCGAAGACTCTTTGTAAAGCTTAGTTGTTAAATACGTTACCAATGAATTTTAATATTTGACTTTGATGTATGTAATAATTATTTAGCTGAAGAAATGTTAATTGTGTCATCACGGTCCGGGTGTCGGGCGCGTGACATCGAATTATATTGTCTTTGTGAATGTGCTGAGTGCCATCGGAAGGCGGCTAAAATCTACTAAATTGTGATAATAATATCTATCAATGCCTCATTGTTCTACGATTATAGCTTACTTATACATGTTTACTTATATTATTGTATGTGAATGTCCCTCAGATTATGCGCCTAATTGTAATACTATAGTGTTTAAATGTATTCCAGAATATTATAATATGTATATTGTATATAAGAGCTTCGTTGTTCGTCTTCAGAGCACATCTTTGTCCAGTCCCTGCTATCGAGACTTGGTATCGAGCCAAAAAGATACATTCTACTGTCCAATGTGTCTTTATTTATTTAGTAGAAATGAACCGATTGTAAAAAGCCGCTAAACTCTCTTTTTATTCAATCTGATTTTATTTCAGCAAGACTACAAGTAACTACGTACTACTTATTTCGTATTATTAAGCAGGGTCTACGTTTTATGTAGGCTTTTAAGTTATTTAAGAGATTTATTTGATATAATTAATTTTGTAAGTTTTATGTTCAGCAAATGTGTCCAATACTTTATTTATCGTACCTACCATGAGAATAATTTGAGTGAATCTGTTATTTGATTTGATTCTTTTTATAATTGAACACTGTAAATGAGTTGCTGCATTTAATTTAAATATTATTTTTTTACATTATGTGGTTTTATGGTAGGTATACAAACGCCATACGAAATTGATGTCTATGTCAAAGAATGTGAGAATGTGCTATTTATAAATGTGTCATAAATTCGTGAATAATCCTCGTAATGTGCGTATATTTTATACATTAGGTACTGACCCAAGGTAAAGTAATATTTTGAATGTTATTTACTTATTGGCGATCCTGATTATAATGAAAACGATGAACAAAGAATTACGTAATAAATTATAATTATTATTGAAATGTGTTTTAATTTATTCAGCGGCAGTAATGTCTAGTTTCACAATTATAACAGTTAGGAGCGGAATGTTATCTCGGATGGTCCCATTACTTGTCTCTGGCTGACCGCCAAATATCTTGAAGTTTTATGCCATCAAAATTATCTAGGACAATTTGGCGTCCGCTTTAAAAACAGAGGAGTCATTATATTTATCTTGAATAGAAAATCTTAAGAAATGAAATGATATCTCAAAATTCCCGACACGAATATTATTTTAAGAATTAGTCGCTTACACCGGTTGCGGGCTAAATCCGTCGGGCGGGACCGTCGGGCCGAGTGAAACATAGGTAATAGAATAAAAGATTTATTAATAAAGTAGATATAAACATTATACGCAATCACACACATCAATTAAACAAGAACAAAATATTATTTTGTACAATACATACATAATACTTTAATGATATTGACTCGAATGAAACTTGATTGATGTTTTCATTTCATTGTAAGAAGTGATCTCGTCGAATGTTCACAAGACTCGAAAGGTTGAAGTACCGAAATGTAGAGATTCCTTATAATATATCATATAAATATATAAAAAGTGTGTTGATATATATACGTTTATTCTCCTGTCATCATCTCCATGAACTCTGAAACAATAATATGAATATGCTAAAGTAAATTGCTAACAAATAAATGCACTTTATAGTAAAGGGGCCAAATTATATCTAGAAGTATTTTTTGGCTCATGTCCACAGCTGAGTCATTGATCTTTCATATATGGTAATGTCATCGTTAGTTAGGTATCGAAGGAGGCTCGACCTTAAAAAAACATATACCAATTTATAATTTCATATTTCGATATTTAATTCTATGACTTTAAGAGTATTCTAACCATGGAACTTCAGCCTATACAATTATATTGTTTGATTATTTTAAGCTTTATTTCTATAGTGTTAAGGATGTTCTTACCATCGAAGTCCACGGTGCCGCTGCCGTCGGTATCGATCTCCTGGATGAGGCCGTCCAGTTCTTCGTCTGTGAGCTGCTCGTCCAACTCGCGAAGGATTTCGCGCAAGCTTGACGTGGGAATGTAACCGTTGCCTGAGAACAAGATATGAAGTTAGTTCGAAATATTTGCATAGTACAATATACCTAGTTTAAGTACGAGTTCATTTAGGGCAATGCTTCTCTTTTTTAAAGAAAATATAATAGATTTAGTGAAATATAATACTTTTCTGTAAGCTTCCTCTTTTGTTAGATACATAAAAACCTTGAACTGTTGAAATGATTAGGGACCGATTATCGTAAAATACCCCCTGTTATTAGTGCACTACACAACATAATCAAAAAAACAATCTGACATAACTCCTCCTTTTTGAATCAATTAGGAAGTTCTACGGAGCTCCTTATAATTTTCAAGCTCTCTCGGTGTTATGACTTTTTTACAAACATAAGGTCTGACTCACCTTCCTTGTCGTATAATCTGAACGCTTCCCGGAGTTCCTTCTGCATAGCTTCCGCGTCCTCCTCAACGATGAACTTGGCTGCCAGCGTAACGAACTCTCCGAACTCAAGACGGCCGGACTCTGAAATTTAAACAGTACTTTGTTATTTACATTAGTTTAGAGTTTAGAGTTTAGGGACTAAAAAGAACTAGGTACTAAATATAATGATAACTAGTAATAGATACAAATGCAATAAAAACTTGGATAAAATTCTCATGTTGATCTACACACCAAAATGTATAAACCAGTAAGTAGAGCACTAAAAGCATGTATTTATATATAGCGAGGTGTATTCTGTAGTGACTCACAAGATATAAGAGCGCATGAGCAAAGTTTAAAAATAATTTGATAAGCTCCAGATGTATCCAAAGCACTGCTAAGGGCCAACGAAAGTGCTTTGCAGGTAATGAAGCTACGTATACATGAAAGAAACTTACTGTCAGCATCGACTTCCTCAATGAGCTCTTCAAGGATTTTCTTGTTGAAGGGCTGCCCCATCATCCGAAGGATGTCCGCGACGAAGTCACAGGGGATGCTGCCCGAGCGGTTGTGGTCGAAGCCATCGAACGCCTTGCGGAGGACTGCAACAAACAGATCTTGCTCAAACCAGTTCACCAGGACGTTACGTAACTAAGTAATAAAAACAAGTCGATCGCCGTCTCCTACCATCGATATTTAGCGTGTGATGCGACATGATGTCAATTGCACTTTACTTTTGGACTACTGTCGAGGTGACTCTTTTTGTTTAAAATGCGTTTTGACGACCAGAGAAATGCAGTGTTGCACTGGCAATAAAACTAGTTAAACTGATCGTTCGACTGAGCGGTTAGAGATGAGATTAGGACATCGGTTCAATGCACTGAGATGTGGTGCGAATTAGTTGTGCAATGTGGCTATTTCGGTGCAGCAGCGTGGTGCACCGGTGGGCGCAGGCGCAGCGCGGACGCGGCGCGACGCACGGTGGCGTGGCGCATCGCTCGTATGTAGGGCGCCAGTAAATAACAAAAACAACACCAACGTGCATAGCCGCCCTTTCCAGAACAACTGTTTTGTTTTTTGAGTAATACCAATCCTAAATGATTCTTATCTAGCCAATAGACATTTCTTTACTATAGAGATGCCAAGAAACTTTAACAGTTACTACTACTGGTGTACTGTTATTTATTTATTTATACTTATTACTATATATTTTGTTGTATAGGTACCACACAATCAATATATAGGATACTGTTAATGCTATTTGAAAGATGCAAGCATAGCAGAAAGCACCAAGATCCTATTTAATATCATAAAGTTTGCAGTTTATTTATTTATTTATAAGTTTAATTTTCTTTAACGTTTCAGATGTGTTCAGTGTAATACTTAGTCACGTACCCTCAGTAAAATGTTAGGCCATGAAACGTAGCCGCACCTAACTCGGTACGCTATAAATAACTTGAATTTAAAATATATTATCGGCGTATTTAATGCGCCTGCGTAAACGAAGAGTAGTCACCTCGTAATGAATCTTTCACTCATTCATGTTTATTTACTTTAACTGTCCACTTGCATAAACTGCTTATCTCTTTACGTAAACACTTATTGGCACAAGGTTTACGAGTGTGACCCTAAACTATATTTAAAACAGTTGTAGGATACTCTTGAAATTGATTACTACATGTACATATTTCTCAGAATACGTTAATAATCATTTCCTCTGACAAAACGACTGTAATAAATTTTTCATCATAACTTTCTTGACTTTTAGTTTGATAGCCGTATCTAATAACGAACGTGCGTCATCGAAATTTATATAAATATATAAAATTCTTATGTAGCTCACCGAAATAAACTCTTTCAGTGTTTTAATGACTTGCTTGAGTGATAAATAGTGGTGGAAGTTTTTCATTCAGACTTATATTTTGTTGTTAGGGATATTTCCATCACATCAAAGTATACAAAGACATTTGGAGACGTTCATTGTAGTATAAAACTTCTTTTTATGACTGATACAGGATACGAAAACATTTGATCGCAATCGTGGGTCGTAAGTGCGCAAGTGCCTCTGTAAATACAGAAGCCACATAAATACGTGGCTCCTTTTCGGCTTGAATTCGGGAACTACTTTCAAACTACTGAATTTTATATGCAACGGTTTTAGACACACAACGCAACGCTCAGAGCACTACAACTTTGTTGCTATATAACCGCTTTTACGATTCAATGGCTTCTATAAATAATGTGTTTCCTTAATTACATTTGCCTGTTTCTGGTAATTTAAGCGTGGCATACTTTATGACGGGACCTTTCAGTGCATGCTTCATTTGACGCTTGACGTATGGTAAGAAAAAATCAACAAAGGGCTTTTCGTTGAATTTTACTACCACTTACTAACTGGCAAGTACGGAATAAGTACCGAATACCCTACTTAGTTGAAGTATTATGAACTTATTTTATGATATTTATCGTCGGTTTTCGAATAATTCCGGTGCAATAAAGCCCACGGCGAAAAATTCGGTGAATCATAATAATTTTCTTTTGATCATACTATTATACGTAATTTCCGTTACACTGAGGTAATAAATCTAAATCTGTGGGCAGCATTTCATCGAGACTAGTGTTCTGGGTGACGCAGATCATTTTGTATCGTGCAATTAAAGTCAAGGAGAAGGTCGACGATAAAACTTTTTATAATCTCCTAATTATCCGTGCATCTCAAAAATAGTGTTTACAACTTTTCTTAATTTTATTATTTATCAGCGAAGCGATAACACTGCTCTATACAACATTGTGCAGCTGTTACATGTTATTTTGGCAGCTAAATAGTTGTAGAAACATGATTTTTATTTTCGCCAGAGTGTTAATTTTAATCGTCAAGACTTCTTGGCAGTTGTCTCAAAGCCCCATGATTTTTTATTGCATTTTTTTTCTAGATTTTAGCTTCTTATTAATTACCCACAGACGGGCGATGAGATTCGCTTGAGAAATGGTTACAATCTCAACATAGCGTAGCGATTGCAATCCGCTGCAAAGTTTATTTTTTAATTCAGGGCGCGGCGCGGGTGGAGTTTTATAGCTACGTGAATTAAAGTTGCTCGGAATGTTTTCGTATCGGGTTTCAGAGCATAATCGTCCCGGCTGACATGTCTGACATGATTCTTTTATGACATGTACTAGAGCAAAATATTAACATGATAAATTGAGGCAGTTTGTGCTGAAACTAGTGACTTATGTCGTTTGCAGGGAGGGACAGTAATATAAATCATTATAACAAATTGCTTATCATAGTGTTTTGCGCATTTTGGCTTATAATCTTAACGACGAGGCCTAGAGTCTAATGATTTAGTTTCGTTGGCAGATATCATGGAACATAAACGATTTACATGTAGTTTATTGTGGTCGTTCATAGTTTATACAAACTCAAGTAGGTGTAGGATCCGACACCAGCAACCGAGTTCCAAAATAACACAAAATATTAACGACGTGTTTTGAAATTTTAATTTCTTTCTTCTTTGATAGAGTTATTTAAATCGTGGACATTGGTATACTGAAATATATTTATTTGTAAAACTATTTTAATATTCTTATAAAAACAAGAACAACTATATTAACCTGAATTCGTGTTAGTGTGTCAGACTTTGTATTTTATTTATTTTTATCAAATAAATAAAGTCGCTCCCTACATTGATCCCAACTTCAAAGCTCATAATTATAACAGAAATAGATAAACTGTAGTAGTTTAAATGGAAAGACATGAAATAGGTGAGTTTCCTCGAAACTGTTTTACGCATTCACGTCAAATAATGAAAACACGTTGTCCTCACCTCAATTCAAACAAGTTGTAAGTAACTGAATTCGCATCGCTTTCATGTTGTGTACGTCAATGTGTGTAAACAATGTAATGTTGTGGGCATCGCAAACTATTGTAAACATTCGAAATAGCTGTAACCGTTGGACTACAGAAATAATTTTAGTAATAAACATTAAGCCAGTGGCACACATAACGCTCTTTCAATTAGTCATCGATCGGATATAGAAGCGAAATATCGATTATAATCGCTCTGTAGTTATTTCGATGTTCTGGGAAATTGGTTTCACGTTATTGGTTAAACAATGACGATAGCACGTTCTATCTGATTTCCACGGTCCGTTGGCAACCGTCCAGCCGTGTTGCCACGCCACCGGCCGCCGTCCGGCCCGACCAAACACCCAAGCGATTTAATGATACACAACATTTTCTTGCATTCCTTTGTCCTTGTGGGTTAATTGATGCAACATTTATAGATTCAGAAAAAATATTTTGTTTTAAAAATAAGCTGGATTCAGCTTTTCATCTAATATTTCTCGCAGGTTTCCTCTTGTAGCGTTCTATTCAAAATTATTCCATGAAACACGTACAACCTGATCAACAGAAGATAAAGTTATCTTTTGTAAATCTACTTATTAAAAAAATGTAAGTACCAAGAAACAGTGGAAAGCTTATTATATACCTACACCGAGCATAGTTCCTAAGAATTATTCAAAAGTCAAAAAAATATCAATAAAAGTTTGTAGTGTAACTTTGATTTTTAATCCAAATTTTTTTTTGTCAAGTAATACTTTAACTGCTACGTTTAGGTGTAGACAATTTGGAATTTGTAAAGACAAACAAAACAATTAAGAATTTGTAGGAATGTAAATAATTGCTCTGTGGATAATACTTTATAATCTTTACACCTCATTTATAACGACTTCAAGAACATTCCTAACATTTGTGACATACATACTATGGTACAACACAATTATTTTGTTGAAGTTGAGGAAAATTATAGTTTTATTTTACAACTAACTGTCGAGCATGAGCAAAGCGTTATTGAGCTCTTATATATGTTTTTGATGATAGCAAGACGTAGAATACACTTGTACCCATTTTCTTTCAGCAGAAATCGCAATTGTGCGAACTACCTATGATAGAGAAAGCAGCAGCACTTTCCAATAAACATGACCTTTTTTAAACTATCCATCTTCCAAGCGTGGGTCTAGGTTTGGTCCCAGAACTTATGACAATAAGTACCTACTTCTTATGGAGGCACATAATACAGTAGAGGACTGTCAATGCCTGTTGATGATATGTTTTGGATATGTCCTCATCCAAATGTCAGCAAGTGGTTGAGATAAAAATTATGTGCATTGTGCACCTCTGAGTATGAACCATAAGGGCGATAAGCCCTTAAGGTTGCCCAAGTAGGCCCAAGTAGGTTGGTTGTGCACCTCTGGTTACGACGAAAAAGACTTCTAAGTAGGGTTTGTGAACAATGTGGTTGGTAATATGAGCAGGACAACGGAGGGTAAACTATCCAACTTATCTTCAAGAAACGCATTAACAATGCACTAGAATCTGAAACATGTATCTTATATTACTCTATTTCTTTACAACGCTAACTAATAGTTGGCACTGTTACATTGCGTCATTAGTTTGTGCACATCCAACGAAGCATGTTCACACTTGTACTGAAATGCTAATTAAAATAATTAATTGAAGCCATATTTTATTCGTTAGGAGACATGCTGGAACAGTATGTGGGCATTCTGCAAATGCATAATACGTTTTTATACATACGTAGGAACTGTTTTCTGTGTGTGTCTTTCTGAGTTAGCAAAGCTCAGTAAAGTGTCACGTGCACTTTGCATCCAAAAGGACTACTTTTGTTTATATTTTTGTATCAGGTCCTTGATTGCTATTTCATAAATCATTGAGTTTTATGTAGATCTAATTACCTATATTTATTACATTTATGTCACTCTCTTCAGAGAATTTAAACAACAACACTGTTTCTATTCGCGAGTTTTTCTTGAATAAAAAATTTCTTGAAAATATCTTTTGTTAATTTAAAATCGTTTGCATATGTTTGGAATGCACATTTTAGTAGCAACTGACTCACAAAAGCTCTTAAAGGAAACGCTGCAAACAAACATTGTATTAAAACATTGTTTTCTAAAACAGATTCATCAATCATACAAAGTTGAAAGATGCATTGTAAAATGAAAATTAAATGCCTGTTAAATATGGTTGGCACGGTATACGCAGGAACAACACGGAGTGTTAATAACTCAATTATATTTTGACAAATCTACACGTCGTCGCGTGGATCTTAGGCGCAAAATTGTTATTATGTACGATATTGTACATTGTAGTTACCTTTTTCTTTTATATTTCGATTTGTTACTGAGAATTCTGGTGTTTATATCTATGTACCTATATCGAAAGCGTAGGATACAAATTGTAGACGAATAATAAAATTTAATAATTGAATTGTACCCAGCTGAAGTTTCGAAATTATATCGTTACTCGCAAAGTTTTTTCAAGCCGCACCTTTGAGAGCCATTTCTAAGTTACTTTCCTCACAATTCCATTAGTATAATTAAATTCTCTTGCAAAACTTGAATCATTAATTTCCTTCGCGCCGCACAAGTCGACTTAAATTAACTTCATCCTCCATTGTGTCGCTGGCGCATCGCCAATACTAAGCTTGCGTTTTTCCATCATTTATGTAAACATTATAACATTTTCACGTTTTATTTTAAAACATTATTTATTCGAGCGTTTGAATTAAAAATAAATGTTAGCAAGACTCTAAAGGGTCAGTGAACTTACCGGCAATTTGTTCTGGGGGGAGCTCATCAGCCTGAAAGTAAAATTAAACATTATATTAGCAACAAAACTAAAATATAACAAACAATCCAGAACTTTAAAGTCATATTGAAATAAGAGCGCTTTCATAAAAAAAAGTAAGTCTTCCAATTTATCAAAGTGATTGCATTTCATTCGAATTTTTCCGAGAATGTTGCGCTAGTTTTATTTATGTTGGCGAATGTAAATAAAAATATTTTCGTAGAAAGTAATGCGCACACGAATATTTATTAAATTGCCTAAGTCTTGGGGTGGATAAATTGGTGATAGACGCAACTTTCCGCGGGATTGCGTTTCTAAAGCATAATAAATTTATTTAATGTGCAATTGAAATGGAAATAGACATTTCAGAGTTGCGTACTCGCCACAAAATTTATTTCAAGACGACTTTTGATACTTAAAACTTTATGATGCTTTACAGTTTACATTATATTCAAGAACATAAGATATTTAATGTACTGTTATTTGTTAGTATTTTAATAGATTTCTCTAGAAAAGCTATTTAATATCAGATGTTATTTGCAATGAGTAAGAATATTGTGTATGCTAGGATTATATAGCGCGTGTGTTTTAAAATATATAGAAGATTTAACTAATTATTTATTATACAAGATTATATTATTTTAAATAATATTGTGGTACAATTAATAAATAATTTAATAATTATTAGGTTATTTACTTTTACAGTTAAATTAAAAATAATATTCATATACTTATGGCTTACATAAATAAAATTATGAATTAGTTGTAAAACGAAAAACTTTAAATTGTTTTAAATTCTTGAATAAGGAAATAATTTACGTATAATAATAAAATGTAGTCAATAATAGCTTTGTTATTCAAAGTATCAAACTTAATTTGAGTCTAAATAAGTTTGAAGTACCTAGCTTATTTGAAGTTGGGATCTTCAAGTAATTTGCGAAACTATTACATATATATAGCTTCTACCTCTATATTAAAGTTATATTAATAGTATCGTAATGGACAAATTCGGATAAGTATAAAATGATTTACTAAATTATATTATCAATCAACAATAACATAGCCACGAATAAAATTCGTGAAAAGCATGTGGTTTTGTAATTAATTAGAAACATGCCAAGACCAGAATAACACTAACATGAAATTCCTCTAATTGTGTTAAAAGCTTTCTTAAAATAATTCTATTTTATATAAAGACTAAACAAACTTTACTTAAAAATCAGCAGTCATTTTAAATGTAAGTGTATTAATATTCACAATCGATGTCAATAGTTGCTAACATTTTGTTCAAGTTTTGTTAAAAGTTTTCCCCTAATAAGTTGACAGGTGCAGAGTTAAATGTCATGTTATTGTCACTCGTAGAATTAACTGTTAGAAATTAACAAAATAAACGTAAGTTAGTCGTCACTTCCGCGACAGCTGTCAGTTAACCACGAAATCGTTGTGGTGAACGACGAGCACCGTGACAGCACCTGTTAGCGTCCACTCAACATCAATCACCATTTGTTTTCTTCTCAAATATCCCGTCATATTTCATTATGAAGAATTAGTAACATACCCAAGCCACATAAATTTAATTTAATTTTTATGTTAAATTGTATTATTATTCTCATTCGCTGGAGACACCTACCCAGTCTTCAGTATCCAGAACCATGTTTGATGTCACTAGTTAACACTATGAGACGCACAACACGACTGCCCGCTAGTCTGATGTTTCCAGCGTTCAGGGTTATTTCTGCTGCCCCACGAGTTAGGTTGGGCTTTCTGATACTTTCATATATACGGGCGACGCGAGTGGTAGGCGCGGGGGCCGGGGGCGAGCGGCGCCCGGCGGCCCCGTTGGCCCCCGAGTCCTCCCCGGCTTCCTGCGCTTGCGCCGACCAATGGCGTGAGCCTCAAACGGCAGGATGCTAAAGTATTTTTAGTAGAAACGTGGTTATGAAAAACGTAAACAAGCGGTGCGTGCGATGCTGAAGCGTGTAATGTGCCGCCCGCCCCCCGTAACCTCGCCGCCCGCCCAAGCGACACCGCTGCTGCCGTCTCATAAATGCAAATAATTAGGTATAATTTTAAAGTCGTTTGTCGTGTGTAGGCAGTATAATGATACTAGGATATTGCAGTGTTTCTTTTATAGACGCAGTCGTTAATTTTTAATTAAATTTTTATTTAGTTTCCTTAAGTTTATCCACCCACGTGTAGCTATCTTAGAGGAAAATGCTGGAATATTATTATTAAAATATTTTATTACTCAATCTTGTCATCAAATGGAAGATTACCCATGGAATCCGTTTGTGGATCGAGTGATAGTGGTTAAGTTGTGAATGTGATTTATTTAGCAAGTGTGAATAAGGTACGGTTGGGTGAGCTGCTAATTGAGCATCGGAGTAACTATGTGTATGATCCAATCGGCCCACGCGTGTTAACTACGGCTTATTTTACTAGGTGGCGTCAATCATTAGGGCACATCACACGCCATTAACTTTCGCGCTATTAAAACATGAGACGCTTGGAGAGCTGGCCAGTGACGTCACAGCAGAAACCATCCATTATACCTGATGTTGGATTAGTGAGCTTTGTATGATTTACGACAAAATGTAATGCTACTCATGGGTATATGATATATAATATGGCCAACTTTTATTATAAATGCGCGTTTACTATGAAAAGTTTACTCTTGCAAAATGTAAGAAAAATATTTATAATAATTGGAACGAGCTAGATCTGCATGGCGGATGTGATGGTTTAGCAAACAGTTATACCAAAGTAATGAGTAAGTGCAATATTAAACTTTGATAGTTACCGAAATTAGCTCGATCGTTATTTTTAGGGTAAGTAGCTATTGATTTATTTATACAGTATTGTAGAAAATGGCTTTTTTAATCGTGTAGGTATTTTATTTACCTGAAAGAAAGAAAGAAAAAATTATTTGTCAGCATGTAGTTACAATAGGTGTGTGTTGATCTTAATTAATGTCTCCAATATTACCGGTGTACGAATATTACATTTATTTTCTACTTATATATTTATGTACTATTCTACAACAATGTTTTTGCAATCTTTGTCATCGAGAAAATCTTTAGTTGAGTAGTAAGCACTTATTTGACAGAAACTTAAGTAATCTTGTTCTGAATGACATTCATTCAATGACAGTCATTTGGAAGCCTGAGTATAATTATTATTTTTTAAAATTTCCAAATAAAGTTGTTTTAGAAAATGTTGGTGAAGTTTACTCATAAATTACTGACTCCGTAAACAGTCCTTCAATCAATACAACCATTTTTCTTTTACTGAAGGTTGAAATTAAAATAGTTAAAACGTGTTTTAATGCGAAAGAAAATTTTGTTGATGTTTCGTTTCTATAATGTTCGTCGCAAGCAATGGATGCCAAGTTGCCAACGCATCAATAGTTCGAAAGCCCTGGAGTTATCATTCATCAGTGTGTATGAATGATGGTTAGTAAGAGGATGAGAAATGAACTTTATTTTAACTAAAATATGACTTGTACTTGAGTGTGAATCCAAACGAATATAAATGGGTAATAATTTTTTAATCACACTAATATTATATTTCTAAAAGTTTCTTTATTTGGATGTTTGTCCGTCAATCACGCTGAAACTACTGAACAGATTTTGACTGATTTAGGTGATAGGATACTTTTATCCCGATTAAATGCTTCCATGGCATAAAACAATAGTACCTACGCGAGCAATGCCACTAGGTATAATTGTGTTTAAGACAAAGGTTAAACTAATATTAGATAAGTATGTGAGTATGTCATTAGTCTATTGGTTGAGAAAAAAGTAATATCATATTAAAAGCAATTAAAAATTACTCTGAAATGAATAACACATTTTGTTTCAAAGAAAAATCCCGCATCAAAAGAACGCATTTTAAAAAAAGTGCAAGTCGAAGATTGACGTAATGAAAATGGATATCATTTTGAAAACAAAAGATGTCCTTTTGTTATTGTATGTCACTCTCTCTAATAGGTGTTTAGCGTCAATGACAGTCCATCATCACGGCAGATGAGGCGCGAGTGACGCTTCAATGAACGTTTGGCACTCGTTTACAACAATAACGTCCTTTCGACTGCTGCGACCCTAGTACATTGCACCCAGATTACAGTGTAGAATAGATTTGTTCCCTCCTTCCTCGGGTGTCATAAATGACGAATAAGGGATTACATTTTTAACAGCGACATGTAGAAGAGCTCTGTGATAAAACCTGACCTACAAGCAACAAGTGTAGAGATTATGGTAAACCCATTTTTTCTATAGGTATTGTAGTTATATAGAGGAGGCCCTTAGATATGGTATAGCTGCTGCTGTTGATGATGATGATGATGTTGACATTGCAGTACCTAGTACAACCCACAAAACATTGGCACGCCACAACATTAAAAACATGACAACGTATTTTTTTCCCTCCAATTTATGATTATTTTTATGTCCGTACCTACGATTATTGCTTCATTCCGTTTTTTTTTTATTTTGTATCTCAATAAATTTGTCAGAAGATATTTTTGTTCGTTATCCTACCCAGTGGTTTGATATAACGATAGCGATTATTCTATTTCAACGGATTTTAATATTATTAGTTTGTTAATCGTCGTGTTATGTTGTAAATCATGTCCTAGGTCAGTTTAATTTTGTTTATTAAATATATACAGATCGTAGCTACTTACCGATAGCTTTATAATTGAACTTTGATGTTTACTGGACCTTTACTCCAGTATTCTAGTGTTATCCAAGCTTCGATGAAAAAATGAAATTCAGTGAAGACCATGCCAAAATTTTTGCGTTCAATCGCAATTCAATTTACGAATAATGTTTTGTAAACCAGGTTTTGTGAAAATCCTAATAGCTTATACGTTCGATATTAAACTTGTTGTTTACATCTAAACTATGAACAATCAGATATCTACCTACTCATATTTTGTGAGATTATTATCATGAAAAAATGGATGCGTTAAATACAGTTTTTCGCCCACGCCCGCTTTCAAGGAAAAACTAGCATCACGTTTCGTTCACACGATTAATGAAAAACGTTTAAAAATTAGAAACGATTCGCCACCTAACACACTCAGTACTAACACACATTGCTAGTAAACGGGTATAATGTTCATAATGGAATTGTAACAAGCTACACATCCTATGTGTTTTCCAGAACGTTCCACAAATTCAGACATTACTCTGCCAATCCAACGGCGATCGATTGTTTTACTAAGCTGAAGCGTACATTTTATTTATTTTTTCATCGCCGATCGAAATAAACTACGAAGCATAGAACCAGCCAGACCTAGAGCAAAACATTTTATGAATGATCGATGCGAATATTTTAAGAAGACAAGCTCTGTAAATACCGTGCGAATTTAATATTAATTTTACATAACATTTCGTATAAATAATTTTGAAACACCAAATACAAATCTAGATAATATCATAATTTATTCATAATAGCGTAGAAATTAAATAATGTTATATGAATTTATAGTATGCGTGTGCAGGAGTAGCGTCGTTCGGTAGCGTAATGTAATGGGCGGGTGCCAATACAAATGTACAGACTATAAATCAATCGCATTTTTATGAGCACTGGAAATCTTGAGACAGGCTATTTTGAGGAACAGTTATGTACTCCGCAGTTCGTAAAACAATCCGGATCCAGGACAACTGTTATGAAAGACAATTCTCATAACCACTTTTGTTGAGTACCTACAGATTTTATGTTTTATATGTACATACATACATTGCGCAATTTTTTATTTATTCATATAATGTTTATTTTCAGGCAACTTTTTTTTAACCTTGATCGCCATGGGGACAAGATAAGGGCCACGATAGCGGAGGATTTACCCTCAACAGTTTTCTGTCGGCAGTCAAAGGCTTAAGGGGGGAAAATCATCGACTGGCTTCTCCCGCCTGGGTGAGGCGGACGGAAGGGAGTGTCAGACTTTTACTGACTAAAAACCACCCTGTTCCTTCTCCTGCACTTAGAGCCGGAGCCCCGGTAACCCGTTAGGTTCTCAGCGACTCCGAATCGGCATCAGCTTTATTAGGCCCCATCCGTGGTGGTCTGATGCCTCATTGTGGCGCGCGCGGAATGTGGCGCGCCGCGCCGTCCGCTCGGGTCTGTTTCTGGTCGCAGGCCCGCACTTACGGTGGCCTAGATCGTCCTGCGATCCCCGACGCCCGGAGTGTCCTTCACGATGGCTGGGATTTTCAGGCAACTATGACCCATAGATATATACCGATAGCAATAGTCATTGTACAAGGGTAGTTGGGTAAGCACCTTCATAATATAAATTTATCTTAAAACTTAACGTCATTCAGGTCTTAGTTAATTTCAATATTAAAAAAAGTTCGATAGAGGTAGATACCTCAAAAAGCATAAGGTTCATTAACACGCTCCGTCATTGATTAATGTTTTACAGTTTTGTTTTTAATTCTCGGCGTTGTTTTGTCAATTCTAACTGAAATGAATGAGCCTATTATTTTGAATTTACAATGAAATCAAAGGAAACTATTGAAAAT